AATTGATTCAATCGATTGTAGCTTGTATTCAGTCAACGTCGCATGTCAAATTGATTCAATCAATTGTAGCTTGTATTCAGTCAACGTCATACATCGAATTGATTCAATCGATTGTAGCTTGTATTCAGTCAACGTCGCATGTCAAATTGATTCAATCAATTGTAGCTTGTATTCAATCGATGTCGCACGTCAAATTGATTCAATCAATTGCAGCTTTTCCATTTGGAGCACCAAACCACTTTGGATTTCCAAATGGATTGGAACAAACATGGCACGCCCATCTGTCAAATCTCCAGATTGGCGCGAATCTTGGCCAACGGATTTGGAGACGTCTGATTTGGTTCAGCACTTTGAACAGTTTTGGAACCTCGGTGTTAGAAATTCACATTGGCTTATCAAATCAATCCATCTGTCTCTAAATCCCATCTCAAAATCAAATATTCCAAATACCCTCAAATCAACCATATTCAGGCTTAAAGCGACGGGCAGGTTCCCCCAACATGAACAACAAACCACCCAGTTTAACCTGGTTTTGTGTAAACCAGCTATGTGATACCTAACTTTTTCTAGGAGAAATTAAACTCAGCATGTTAATGACTGGAGGAAATTCTAATTCATTCACTTAGAATTTTCTAGAGATTCTCAGCATGAAAGGAAATGATTTTGTAACTAGATGTGACCATTTTTTTTCTTTTTCTATCTACCTTCTGTACTCCCATTCATGCAACAGATCTGCTAAGGGTTTGTCCTGAGAAGGTTGAAAATCTGCAATTCAAATTTAGCATGGTGTAATTAGATCATCTGGGGAGAAGAGGCTGACCGCTGGGTTCGAATCCTTGCGCTTTTTACCTGTTTGCTAATCTGGCAGAGTATTTAGGCATTTGTTCGATTTAACAAAAAAATTAACCCACCCCAATCTAACAGGGCAGTGAATAGCACCAAAGTAAGCAATTAAATAAATTAAAAAGTGAGTAAGTAAATCACACCCCAAAGTATTAACTCCAATTAATAGTATTAAGCATCCAGTAGATTACAGCCAAACTGTGAGAAAAGCATAGACTGTATTATGAACAGCAAGAAATGATAAAAATGGAAAAAGCTAAAGCAGAGAGAGGTATTTCATTCATAAAAAAGATGCTGGACTCAATACCCATCAAGTTCAATAGGTCTAGCTTCTCCAGAAAGCAGGTATTAGGATCACAGGATACTGCAACATAAATTTATCAACTGAAGGAAGTTGGGGAGGAAATATACTCAAATCCGAAGTCACCGTTTGGAATTGATGAGTGATAAATCAAGACTGAGAAAAGGAAGGTTACTATCTGGGCTGCAGTACTCAAGATGGCCACTAGGTGGCAGCAAATACGACCTTTTCTTGTTTCTCTTTGCTGCCCTCTAATGCTGACCAGACGTACTGCAGCCCAGATATGATAGCCCTCGAGAAATCCATAATTCTACTCACAAAAAGGAAGCTGCATAGGGAATTCTTTGCCACCAGAAGTAAAGACGGCCACTGCTCTGGATGGCTTAAATGAAGAATTCAGGAGAATTGGAACGCAGGTCAAAGTAAACCAGAAAAAGCTTTCAAAATGGAAAGGTCCCATGGATCTTCTGGAACAATTAGATGATTCAACAGCCAGAATTATTGGCTTTTTGTTCCACCACTTTGCGTGCTGGTATCAACCCTCCTGTAGATCTTTGTCACACGGGAAATTCTCCTGTCCCATAAACGCTCACATCGTGATCAGATCTTTGAATGATGTGTGAGGAACGGCATTCCATAAAGTGGGTGAAAATAAGACCGAAACAAAATTGGATTAAACAAAAGATGAAACTCAAATGTTGAACATGGGAATGCATTTAATAAATTTTGCCTCCCATCACATCAAAAATTACAATTTAGAGGCAATTTTTGGAGAAGATTTGGAGATCGCTCCCAAAGTTTGGGGATCACTGTTGTGGCCAACGGCGACGTGAGTGGGACCCTTCTCTTTTCAAGATCTAAGAAAAGAAAAGTTGTTTGAAAAAGCTAGAAAATTTCAAAGCCCCATATTAAAGCCTTCCACCTTTTTAGAGGTATAAAATAATAAAGGAGAGAAATGTTTTAGAAAGTCCAGAGGCCACCTTGAATTCCCGAAAGTTTATGAAAAAAGTTTCTGCACTCTTTCATGGTACCATCACCACTGAAAACACAGATGTACACATTCAAATTTCATAACTGTAGAAGCCCGGACTTGCAATATAGTATGAATTACAAGGATGTCAGGTTCAATTTACAAAGGAAGTAATTTTGAGTTTCAGCAGTATCCCGGGTTCAAAGTTTTTCCTCCCCCTTTTGGTCTCCCCCTCCTTTTCCTCTTCTCTCTATTCCCCCCTCTCTTTTTTCCTCTCTCTTTTTTAAAAAAAATATTCAGTTTAACTGAGTGGACTGAAATAGTCTGGAGGCCATTAGCCGTAAATTCTTCCGAAGAAAAATAAATTCCTTCTCCTTGCTAACTTTTCTTCTTCTCTCAACAAGTCCAAGACTCACACAGCTTTTCTATTGAAATAACAATTATGCCCGAGGCAACCTGGAGGCGGCTGGGATTCCTAATCAAATAAATAGATTTTATTAATTAACACAGGTCTTTCGCAAAGAGGATCCCGATTTGATCTCCAGGCTCCAAAGGAAGAAAAACAAAAAAGGGCCAGGTCAGGTTCTTAATGGGGATTTCACAAATTCACAGCCTTGGTCAGAAGGAGGCATCGGGAATGATTTAGGGGGAAAGTAAAACTCCAAAACATCTCCAAAACATCTAACAGGAGTCATCTACAACATACAGTGTAAGGACTGTAACAGCCACCATGTAGGACAGACGGGCAGAAGGCGGGCAGAGCGTGTCCATGAACACCAACTGGCAGTCAGAAGACACGATGAAAACTCCTTAATCTCACAACCCATGGACAGACTCCACCAT